TATGGGCAATTGCGCATGCGCGGCAAAAATTGCCGTAACAATTCGCACGTTGTGCGGCGGTTGGTGTCTTTTCGTTGTTTTTATTTTTTTTTTTTGTTTTGTATATATGTGTGTGCATGTTGAGATGTGTATGCAATTAAAGTGGCAGTGGTGGAAAAAAAAAATTAATAAAAATACAAATAAGTTGTATATTTTTGCTCATTTCGCAGCAGCAATTCACAAAATGTATTATTTCAATTTTTTTTTTTTTTGCTTTTGTTTTTGCTATTTTTTAATTTTTTTGTTTAATTTTTATTTTCTTGCTCGCAACAACCCATAATTTTCAACTTGCAACCAAGGCAAATTATATGTATAGCATATTATTGCATTAATGGCGCACACGTTTGTGTCATGCTTGTACAGGTGACTCCCTTTGCACGTCGAAATAATTCTTGAACATAAAGTTTTTTGTTTTTTTTTTTTTTTGAATTTGCTCTCCCTACTTAAAATCAAGTGTTTTGCACTGATTTCCGCGATGAGTATACAGTTGACGCGCAAACGTGGCAAGTGTTGTGGCAAGTGTGCCAACACGAGTGCACCTTTTGAATGCTACGAATTATGTGCTCATATTTCGGGCATATTTWTTCCAATTTTGTATTGTTATTTTGTAGTTCATACACTGATCGCAAGATCACTTCGTACAATAAGCCAATTGTTAAGTCATCAATGGGCGCAAATCAATAGTTGTGGCACAAAACAACAAAACATAATAATAAAACAAATTATATAAACAAAAGAAAAATTAGTGCTTTCACGGACGCGCTGACTATCGCTGAACGTGTTGTGATCACGTGATCTCGCGCTCGCGCTCGCGCCCAGCGATCGATCAGGCAACCGATTGCGAGCGCGCAGCTATCACTGCCATAAATCCGTTTGTTTATTTGTCCGTCTGCTGGCTTAATATTTTGACAAGCGCAATAACTACCCCAAGAAAAATGAAAAAAGATGTGGCAGATCCACACTGCTTGCAGTCGTACGTGTATTTTAATTCAATAATCATTTTCACTGGCGATCATCTGCGCTACCCGCAAACCCACACTCGGCGCGGCCCTAACAAAATGCGAGAGAAAAAATGCGCAAATGTACGCCGCTGCAAAGGAATATAAAATCGAAAGAAATGCCTCTTACGCGCAAAGCACCTGAAGCCACTTAGAGGCCAGGCGCTCTTCGATCATCGCTGCAGAGGCCGCACGGCCATGCCACAATTGCTGCCACATAATAGCTATAATCAGGCACACGTACATATAATATTGGCTAAAGAACTGTTATTAGGATAATCAAATGGGAATTATCAAGCGCAACGATCGACAAGATCGCGCAACGGCACTCACCACAAACAACAGCAGCAACARCAAGAACAGCACTAACAGCAACCAACAGCAGCCGCCGTCGCCGCATCGGTGGTAACCACGCACGCTGTCGCTTCAGCAACTATATATGCGTTCAGTTAGATGMATAATGCTGCTGCTGTCCACTTGGCTGTAGTTGCTTTCGCTACTGCCGGCTGCCGTCTTGACAGTGGCTCATCTTTTTCGCGATCTGTGTTGAAGTGCGTCGATGTTGTGCCGATATTATTGCGCTGCCGCTGTTTTATGGCCAATATTAAATGTTATTAAATTTTTTTTTTTGTTTTTTTTTTATAGTTTCCCATTTTCGAGCACTCCAGCAGCAAGCACATAATCAATCACAAGCGCATAATCCATCACGATCTGTTGTGTTGTAAGTTAAGGCCTGTTGTAATGATTGTGCCACAAAGCCAGTAGTTTGTGCGTGTTGCAGTGTGGAGGCTAATATAAATTACAAGTGGGAGCAAGGCAGTTGAAATTCGTAGAAAGCTGCGCATAATTGTTGTTGTAATATGATATATAAGTGTATACGTACAGATGCACAGTACTTATGTTAATAGACATTTTCAAGAAAGAAGGAAAAAATGTTTCCAAAATTTATTTCAAAATTTTCGTTAATATATACCAAAATTTTATTTTTGATATAAAAATGCAAATTTTCTCTCACATTKGCAACTTTCCAAAGGAATTTAAGTAATTCTTAAATTATAAATTTTGTGGAATTTTTCGCCGATTAGTAATTTTTATTGGAATTATTTAGATTTAGCAATCAATAATGCTTTTAAGCACTCTTTTCTTCGTTAAGTTAAGTACTATAATTTTAGCACATATTTTTTTGCTCATTTTCTACTTCTACTAGAATATAACTTTTAGTACTTTCATTTTTACTGTGGTAAATATTTTACTCGATTTGAATAATAATAATTTTCACATGGAGTCACAAGTTTACTGCTATAATTTTAGTATTCCATCTTGTTACACATTTTTTGCTGATTTCCYAATTTTAATAACATATAATTTTTAGTACTCTCAGTTTTTGTACTTATAGGTTTAGTACTCGACTTTCGTACTAATTTTCTGTTTCCTACTACGCCTCAACTACTTCGGCTGCTTAGTAGTAAATTATTAGTAATACATTTTGGTATACATTTACTTGGAATACATTTTAATAAATTGATATTTTTTTATACCATATTTCAGTACTGTTTGTTTGCTATTACTTAGTTATACTAGCTGCAAAATTAGTGCTCTATCATTCGTCACATCACAATTAATATTTCTATTTGACTTTTTTAGTTTTATTTAGTACTATTTTTTAACTTTTTATTACCACAAATTTACTAAATTTTTAGTACACTTTAATATTTTTTTCTGACAATACAGATATATAGGTTAAATTAATCTCTCTAGTTTATGTGTTTTTCTACTACTTTTTCTACTTCATTTTCTACTACTGTTTGGCTAAGCCATCTCTCTTTTTAAATATCTTTCTGCTTATTAATTTTTTTGTGCCTTTTATACTACCTTTTCAATAAAATTTTCTACTACCTTTTCTACTACTTTTACTATTTGCTAAGGTTATCTCTACTTTTATCTATCTTTCAGTGTATCAAATTTTAAGTGTTGTTGTACTAACTTTTCGGCTACATTTTCTACAAGTTCTTCTACCAAATTTTCTACTRCCTTTTGGATAGGGTATATATATGTCTACATATCTGTCTAATAATTTTTTATGTGCTTTTCTACTACTATTTGTTTGAATCATTTATTCTATTAAATTAGTTTCATTATCTCATCAACTACTTTTGTTTTAAACTYAAAACATGCATTTAAAGATATTCCAAAAATATGCTATTTATTTCGTAAGCATTCACCGTCATTCACACAAGGATCCAACAYATTTCTATAAGATTTCTACATACACTACATCTATAAGATTAGSTATTCTAAGTACATATGCGGCAATAAACTTTTTCAAAGTACACAGCAGCGATTAACTGTGCGCAATCCACTTCATTTACTATGCTACTAGCCTTGCCTTCACACACACGCGCGCTCCACACATATGAATTGAAGTTATTATTTGCCGCTCGCGGCTTAGAATCAATGATAATAATGATAATAACATTGCATTGCGCCTGCCAGTCAAAAGTTCGTGGTGTGTTGCACGACAGGACGCAAGCAAATTGCCATAACAGGACAGCTGATGCGGAAAACCATATTGTTGCAAGTTGCTGGCACAGCTGCGCATGCCATATACTTTGCATTAATAATTTGCACACAAAAATTAAATAACATTAAAAAGCGAAAAATAAGCATAATCCAAATATATAATKCAACGCAAAGCGCCAACAGCATGCCACATAAATCTCACTTGGTGTCTGCTAAATTATACAYTTCAAAAAGCATTAGCTTGCCACGCTACCAGGTACAAAGCGTGTGCGCGCGCGTAAAAAGCCTTGCTGAGGTGCAAGAAAAAAATTCCAAGTGGAATTGGGAGCAAATGCGGCATGAATCATACGAAGTGCCTGCCACATGGCCGCTTGGCCGCTCGGCCGGACAGCAGAAGCTGCAATTGGCGGCAGTTCTTGACAACACGCGGTGGCAGCTTTGTTGTTGTGGACGCATTAACGCGCACACTGCTGCCGCACAACAAAAACGCCTCACTTACCACAGAATGCACTGTTGCAAGTGTAGCGCGCAGTGTGTATGTGTGTATTGGCGGCAACGGCGGCAACGGCGGCTTGATCGATCTCCGCATGGCTTAGGGATAAAGTTTAACGCGATTGTTTATGATACAAATTAAACAATTTATGACAATGCACAAGCCGCATAGCAGCGCGCTGCAACAAACACAAAATTCACCTTAACACAGAGAGTGTGTTTGTCTTCGCAAYACTTGCCGCCGCGCCGCAGCGCCTTTGTATGCAAAACAGCACGCGGACGCAAGTGGTGTACAGCGCACCGCATTGTGTTGCAAGACGTTCGGTGGCAGCGTACCAGCACACAACACACAGAAGCTTCAGGCGAATTTATGCTGTGTGGTGCGATCAATCGAACGATCGGCCGATCGCACGATCGATGGCTTTGCCGCTGCCGCTATATGGGCTGTGGCAGCTTTGCATTGCTCCGCGCGCAGCGTACAACAATTGGACGGTGCCATACAGCCAAGGCTATAAATTATTTATTGCACACATACGTGTGTGTGTGTTTGTATGTGTGGTCGCTCTGTTGCCACAAATTTTTAAAACGTCATTTATTATAGAAATTTTATCGCTTCTGGTCTCGCACTTCGGCGACCCGCCTTCAACGCTTGCATTGCGCCTGCGCCGCTTGGTCACAACTGTTTTGTAATATTTCGCGCGTAATTTTATTATCAAGCCGATTTTTTGGCGTTACTTTTTAAATAAATTTTCTCATAATTGATTTAATGCGCGCGATTATCTTTAATTTATGTAAACACATTGCTACAGTTATACAAAATAATTGCAGCTGCAGTTTTTTTCTTGATTAAATTTCGTTATTCTTCATTATTGTCGTTGAATTTTAAGTGTTGTTTTTGTAATATTGATTCCAAGTATAATCATTGTTTTTGTTTTTGTGTTGTCTTTGCAGCATCCCGTATGCCATCGTCCCATACATCACCGCAAGTGTGTCGGCCGCACTTTCATCCGCCTCTCGGTTCGTGGCTTACCAGCGAGCATAAATCATTCGCACCCGCCAGCCCATGGGGCAGTCCGTTTGCATGCCCCCAAGATCCGCAAGTGGACCATAAGGTCGGCCAAATTGGCCAAAGCCATCAGACGACGGCGGGCCAGCATTCATTTCCATTCCCACCGACACCGCCAAAGGATTCCACACCCGATTCAGTACAAACCGGTCCATCGGAGTATCAGGTAAGCGCAATCAAAGTAAAATCGAGGAATAATTGTCGAAGATTGAGATTATTATTTAGGGAAGATATTT